TCCGGTGGTGGTGGCAGCAGCGGCTGCGGTGGTTCCGGGTGTCTTTGTCCCCCTGGTGTCGTGGCCCTGGCCCGCAGGTGGGTTGGGGGCCTCCCGCTGAGCCTCCGCCTCTCCGACTCTCTCGGGTGGCGAGGCTGCGGGGGTCCGATCGGCGACGATGTGCCAGACTCCGAAAGAGCCGAGCCCCCCTCCGGACTGCAAGCTCCGTCTCCCTGGCAACGGCCTCGGCCCTGGGGGCGGGCGGGAGGAGGAGAAACCTCGCGCCGTGGTCCTCCCACGGTGGCCTCTCGGTGGCTCGGCCCGGAAGGCTCTGCGCAGGCGGCTGCGGAGGCCGGAGCCGAGGGTCGGGACCTAGGAGGAGGCAGCGGCTTGCAGGCCGCTTGGCGAGGGCCGGCTGGACAGCTCCCTTCCCACCAGCCGGTCGGAGAGGACGGGCGGGTTTCCGGGGAGAGGGCCCGCATCATCTCCCCGCTACTCGTACCTCCATTTTTTCCGGGCCCTGCGTGGAGTGTTTTGGCGGATGTTTTTGAATGAATGAATGTCATCGGAGCTCTTCCAGCCCCTTACTCCGCCAGCCTCTCTAAGGGTGCCAGTGACATAGTGAAAGGAGTGCTAAGTTGTTGGGAGACTTGGGTGCGAGTCCTGCTCTGTCACTACCTGCTTTTGTGGCCTTGGGCAAGTCTCCTGATCTCAAAGCTCCAGTTTCGTTGTCTGTAAACCAGCATGCCACTAGCACCCACCCACCGTTAGGTTACTGTGAGATCAAACTGGAGTAATATAATTACCCATTTCATTTCCTCTACCTCCTCTCCATTCCTCCATTTTAGGACCCATCTCACCTTAAAAGCTCTACTTCATTAAGATTTTTCAGGCAATTGATGGAAGTTTTCCATTTGAGCTGTTAACGTCTTTCTTTTGTTGATTGAAGGTTTCCCAAGACCTTGAAAGGACAGCATTCCCAATGTCCCAGTTTAAGCGCCAGAGGATCAACCCACTTCCAGGGGGACGAAACTTCTCAGGTGCTTACCTTCCTTACCTGGCTGCACTCTGGACTCAGTTTCCAAAAATATGGTTCTTGGGTATTTCCCCGAATGTCTGAGGAGCTGGTTGGATCCACTTTGACCTCTGGGTCTCCAGGATCCTCTGGCTGTCACTAATGCTTAGGGTGTAGGGTGCAGTTTCTAGAGGTTGCTTCTCTGTCCCCTAGGCTCGGCTTCAACATCTCTTTTGGGCCCTCCTCCTGGTTTGCTTACTCCTCCTGTGGCCACGGACCTGTCCCAAAATGCAAGGCACCTTCAGGTATGTTGGGTTCCCTTTCTTGTAAGTTTCTCTTTGGAGCCACCCTAGTGTGTTTGGCTGTCTGGTGTGTGTTCCTTATTGTGTTACAGTGGTCAACAATCCTGGGTATTTTGTTTTTGTTTTTTCCTGGTAGTGGACCAGTGTTGGGGGAACTTAGACATCTTTCGTACTGGGGAGTTTTTAGTTTCTGACCCCAGAGAGATCTCCTGGTGCCTTTTGGGATTAAAGAACTGAACATTCCAGGAGCAGGAAAGTGAAGAATTAGCTTCTCCCCTATGTGAAGTTTCCTCTTCCCTCGTGCCTAGAGAAGAGGCCCTAGTGGCAGAGCATGATTTTGTTCTTGTGGCTTCCTTTGTTTTTGACCTACTGTCTTCTCTTGCAGGGTGGGGAGAAGCAGCGGGTCTTCACTGGCATTGTTACCAGCTTGCATGACTACTTTGGGGTGGTAGACGAAGAAGTCTTTTTTCAGCTAAGGTAGGCTTGAGGCTCGTCTCTTCTGGGAGTGGTTGTTGGATTCAGTTCTGTCTCCATGCTGGTGGGTCTGTTCTTTAGAGCCTTGCTTTGCTATGTTACTGCAAGGTGAGGAATCTCGATGAGAAGGGCATCCTGGGGGCAGTCAGGGTAACTTGTCCCAGGGCCTTCCTGATGGGGCCTCCTGGTTTGTGTGCTGGCAGTGTGGTGAAGGGCCGACTACCCCAGCTGGGTGAGAAGGTGCTGGTGAAGGCTGCATATAACCCAGGCCAGGCAGTGCCCTGGAATGCTGTCAAGGTGCAGACGCTCTCCAATCAGGTATTTATCTCTCTTAGCATGTGCACTGAAAAGGGGTGGGAGAGAAGGGAGTCCTGTATCCTGACTTCTGGGCATAATCCTGCCTTTTGTTGAGGGGGCAGGATGGCTGTCTTTCCATGGTATCAAGGCTGGGATCCCCTGAACTTCTTGGCTATTTTCCTTCAGCCCTTACTGAAGTCTCCGGCACCCCCCCTTCTGCATGTGGCAGCTCTGGGCCAGAAGCAAGGGATCCTGGGAGCTCAGCCCCAGTTGATCTTTCAGCCTCACCGAATTCCCCCGCTTTTCCCTCAGAAGCGTGAGTACAGGTGGCATGCATGTTGGGGTGTGGCTTTGTGGGGTGCTTTTGAGGAAGGGACTTGTTACTTTAACACAGATGCTCTCAGGACAGAAAGGGGTACTTCTGGACCCAGGAAGAGGAGGAGGAAGCTGCATGGGGTTTTAGGGCTTTTGAGTCACCGGCCATTTCCTTTCTTCAGCTCTGAGTCTCTTCCAGACATCCCATACACTTCACCTGAGCCACCTGAACAGATTTCCTGCTCGGGGTCCTCACGGAAGACTGGACCAGAGCCGAAGGTAAGAGGATGAACAGGCCAGATAGAAGTTTACTTCATTTCCCTCTCAGAGCCATGGTCCACCTTTGACAACTGTTGACACTAACATCTTTTTTCTGTGCACAGACAGAGCCTAATGTCCCTTTTGTTTGGAAGGCAGATGCACTGAAACATATACACACATGCAGTAACTTTATACATTACCTCAGCAAAGCTGAGATTTAGTACAGTTTATTTTTCAAGACTTTATTACTTTGTTTTCGTTGTTTTGCTTGCCTGCCTAGTGCTGGGATTATAGGGTGGTTTGCCCACACATGCTGGGCTAAGATACTTTATTTTGAAACAGGTCTTATGTAGCTCAGGCTGGCCTTGAACTCCTGATCCTCTTCCTTCTATGTCCCATTTGCTGGGCTTCCAGGTGTGCACCACCTAGCTTGCTTATGTATTCTTTTTTTTTTTTTTTTTAAGTATTTGTGTTTAGCTGGGCGGTGATGGTGCCTTTAGTCCCAGCACTCGGGAGGCAGAGGCAGGCCGATATCTGTGAGTTCGAGACCAGCCTGGTCTACAAGAGCTAGTTCCAGGACAGCCTCTAAAGCCACAGAGAAACCAGTCTCGAAAAACCAAAAAAAAAAAAAAAAAAAAAAGTATTTTAGGTTTGAGATACTTTGTGTGTGTGTTTTCTATGAATCTGTATGGAGGTGTGGGCAGGTGTATTTGGAGCCAGGAGGCTGACAGCCAGCCTACTCTGTTGGTTTTTGTTTGTTTGTGTTAGAGACTGTCTCAATGGAGCTTGTCATTTTGGCTAGGCTGACTGACCAGCAAGGTCTAGAAATCCTCCTGTCTGCTCCTTGCAGTGTTGGAATTACAGACCCTGTCACCACACCCAGCTCTGACATGGGTGTTGGGGTTACTCATGTGGAGCAAGCAACTTTACCCACTGAGCGATTGCCTGGGCTCCAGATACTTAAAAAACAATTTCCCTTTTGTTTCCAGTCTTTAACATAGAGATACAAGAATCGTTAGAAGAATTGTAACAAGAAAATAGTAACATCAAAGAAAGGAAGGTTGCATATGTTTTAGCTCCTAATTTAACATGGCTTCTTTGAAGTATATTTTGTGTAACAGTGTTACAATACACAGGCTGCAGCATATTCTGAAGTTCAGGCTTTGTCCTGGGTGCATACTTTCTTGGCCTTATTGTTGTGGAGCAAGCATGGTTGATTTAGGCACTTGAGATGTCCTGTGGTCCTTTACCATCTGCAAGTTTGGGAAGTTTCCAGGAGCATTCTTAGTGTGTCTTAAGTTCACATCTCCTTTGTGTTTTACTGTCCTTGAGAGTTTTTGCTCAGCTTTTTATACTAGAAAGTTCAATATATGCAAAGGAAATAGAAAATGAATCTTTAAGCTATTACCTGATTTCAACAAGTAGTATTATCTGCCTTTCTTTTTTATTTCTATTTTACATTTATCTCCTTGTTGCCTTGTTTTTTTGATAAAAATCTTAAAGTGAAACTGAATTAGATTGAAATGTCTGAATCTTTTTTTTTTTTTTTTTTTTTTTTTTTTTTTGAGACAGGGTTTCTCTGTGTAGCTTTGGAGCCTATCCTGGCACTCACTCTGGAGACCAGGTGGCCTCGAACTCACAGAGATCCACCTGCCTCTGCCTCCCGAGTGCTGGGATTAAAGGCGTGTGCCACCA